AGTTTTATTTAAGAAAGGACTTGTATCGCTTAAGTTCCTCAGAAAGAATTTATACCGGAAATTAACAAACGAGCAGATACGTAACAATACCCTTCAAGTGTAAGGATAAACAACAATATGAAGTTACAACATGTGAGCCTTCTGTGTAGTTGGTTTTTTAGTTCACTTCCTTGGTCAAAAACTGATCACTTTTGTACAGATTGGAGATTTAGAATTTTCTAGACGAGATATACTTTTCATTTAGTGTCATTGAAAACTATGGATCAATTTGGGTAACCAGAACCATACAGATATAGGCCTAAAACAAGTTGTGGACCCTCTATAATCTATATATTTATAAAGCAAAGTTGTGCATCTGTGTGGTGTCTTCATGTCATAAATGTTTTGGTTGAAGAACTTGGGTGGACCTCCCCACCCAAAGGTTGAATTTAAATGAACTTCGATTATAAGCATCTTCATCCAAAACCAGGTACTGCAGCCCATGTCCTTTTTTCATATTTGTTGAACTCTAAATTTAACCCATTAGGGTTTTAAACTTAAATTTGACTATCTTTCTTCATAAGATAAAGCTATGAAAAAGAACAGACTGACAAAATGCTCTCAAAAACAGACTTCTTCATTTTAATTGTGCTATCAGTATCATCAACAAGAGAAATCTACTGATCAAACTATTGCACATAGCATTCATAACAAATTCTGTGAATATAATTCTTTATGTTACAACCCAATGAAGAACATAAAATCCAAGAAAATTGCAAATTTTAATTTTGTGTACAGAATGAGAGATTCCCATTTTCCTCAGAATGTAAGAAAATCACCATACATTAGCCATGACTATCTAACAGTGAACACACCACCTACTGCTGTTGTACCCCTGGATCTACACCTAATGGAAAGTGAGATTGCTATTCCAAAGAAAAGCCTAAATTTTGTTTCTATTAAAAAACATATAAATGAGTTCAATACAAAACACCAAGTCGAACATTTCTTTCACCACTTACATCTTCAAGCACATTTCTACACTTCAACTACAGATCAGTCAAGACAGGGAACTCCTATGCCACCTACGAACATCAGTAAGTTATTTCTTTCTCAGCTACAGAAACAAATCAACACATAAACAACCCCACCAAGGAAATTTTTGATTCTCGATTACAATATGGAGAGGTGTTGAAAGAAAATTAAAAACTTGGATTTTGCATCTGCTAGAAACCTCACTAAAAACAAAAACAGCTTTATATAATCTTCCTTCCCATGATGACATCGTAATAAAACATGATGGCAAAAAGAGGAGTAGTGGATGTTTGGAAGAAAGAACTTTATCTTCAGGAAGCTCACCGACAACTATCAGACTAATCATCCTATGCTATATGTGATAGCAACCTTCTTGATGAATAGTTACAGACTCTGTGTGTGTGTCACTACAGAATGAATGATAAAAAATAATGAATTTCCATTAGAAGCTAAGAATTTAATTGTTAAATACCCTGGGCTTTCTGTATTGTATCTTCTTCCTAAGAAACATAAGCCAGACCAATCTGGTAGACACAGAGTTTCAACATGCAGCTGTCCTAATGAACTAATCTCTAGTTACCTTGATTCCATCCTAACCCCCTTAGTTCATCAACTTATTACTTACATTAAAGACACCAATGACACCTTATACAAAATTGTGAATTTTAACTCAAAATCACACTTGACATAACGTCCTTGCATACTTCCATTCCACATGCAGATGGACTCAAGACTCAAGACCCACCTGCTGCAACCCTTATCAGATTAACTGAACTAGTTTTATTGCTAAGTGTCTTTTCTTTTGACAACAAATTCAATATACATGACATAACAATGTTTGGGACAACATGGGACCTATTGGTCCATCTCAGCTGTTCCATCCTCTAAACTAAATTATAAAAAAAAATCTTAAAGCTAGCCCTTATAGTTTAAGATAAAAGTTTGATAAGTATATGAATGCCACTTATATTTACTGCCTCTACAACATCTGAAGGCAGCCCATTCCAAAGGCCAACTGCCTTATTAGAAAAATAAAACTGTTTTAGCTGAAGATGAATCCTACCTTGACAAAATTTATATTTGTGTCCCCTAGTCCTACTATTATCACCGTTAAATATGAAAAGAAGATGTTACATCAACACTATCAATTCCCTTTACAAACTTAAACACCTCAATCAGATCCCCTCTTAATCTTCTTTTTTTCAAGAAAAAACAATTTGAAAGATTTCAGCCTCTCGTCATATGACAACCACTCCATCCCAGGCACCATTCTAGTAACTCTTCTGCGAACCCTTTTCCAACAATTCAATGTATTTCCTAAGGTAAGGAGACAAAGACTGAACACAATATTCCAAATGTGGCTTAACCAGTGACCTGTACAATGAAGGTATAACCTATTTAAACTTGTATTCAATATTTCTATAGATACAACATAAACTCCTATTTGCCCTACCACTAGCAACAGCACACTGCTTGGATGGCTTTAGAAACTGACTGACTATTATACCAAGATCCCTTTCCTCCATAACCCTATTAAGGTTATTCCCATTCAAATTATACTTATTCAAATTATGATAACCCACATGCATTATCTTGCATTTATTATAATTAAAACCCATCTGCCATTTACTTGCCCAACTCACTAAATAGATCTAAATCCTTTTGTAAATCAGCAGCATCCTCTTCACAGCTAGCTACATCCAAGACTTTAATATCATCTGCAAATTTAAGTAATTTATTGACTATCCCTTCATCTATGTCATCGATGTAAATCAAAAAGAGCAAAGGTCTTAAGACTGAGCCCTGAGGTACCACACTTGTGACATTAATCCAGTCTGACTGAACTGTATTTGTAACAACCCTCTGTCTTTCTTCCATCCAGCCACTCTTCTATCCATTTGCTACTTATCCACACCTACAGATAATTTTTACTAAGTCCTCTTATGTGGC